GCAAATAAGGCGGCAGCTTCATTTCCACTAATCTGCGGCTGTGGGAGAGTATCCGCATCTGGCGCGGCTGGCTCAAAGGTATCAATTGCATCCTCACGTTCAGTTGGTGTTTCCACTGCAGGAGCTTCTGAATTTGTGTCAATTTTGACACTCTTTAGAATTGTGTTGACCTTTTCCTGGACCTCGTTTGAAACAGACTCCGTCTCCTTATTTTCAACAGCCTCAATGGCGGTGTTTTCGCCATCGTCAATCTTCTTGCCCTCCAAAGTAAAGGCTGCAAGCTCAGCACCCTGCTCATCACTCCTGACATCGAACTTTGGAGGATATACTAGCCCGATAGAGGTGTACAGGCGGAAATTGACAAAGCCAAGCAGAGTCGTGTAGAACTCTACGAACGTTCCCATGATCCTGAAGTCAATGTCACCAGCCACCTGCTGCACGAAGCGGTATGGAACGAGCCATAGAATATCCTGACCCTGGATTGTAGCTTGATAATATATCCCCTTTATCGAGAGGAAAGACTTGCGAAGCGAGTTGGTTGCAATCAGGTAGTGTTGAAATTCGTGGCAAAGTCTTTGGCAACGGGCGATGGTTTTTGGAGGAACCGTCGCGGTCGAAGGTAGGTTAGCGAAGAGGAATAGTAGCGACAGAGCATCGTCTAGATCTCGCAGGGCATCAATGAACGTTGGATAGCGCTCCTTGACAAGATGATCAAGCGTAAGCTTTGGTGCAAGGTTCTTCTCTAAGCGTGATGCATCTCCGACCTGGCCACGTCCGAGAGCTCTAGCAATCTTCTTTGAAAGGGCTTTCTGTTCGCGGAACTTATTCAGGAGTGGCTCGTGGAGAAGATACTGTATATCTCGAGTGTAGTAAAAGGTGGTGTTTGCGGTTGCAGACTTCGATGCCTTTTTCTTGTTCCTGGGTTCACGAGGATAGATTCCTGCGTCCTAGAGTCAACACTGCTTCCACATCTACCGCATCTGGAACTATCTAGAGCGTACCCTTGAAAATGCATAGTCGCCTGAAGTCTGGAAGTGAAATCTGCAACTTTCTCACTGCCTGAGTTCTTGTAATATAGTTTTTGGCCTGGCCAGAGGTTCCTATTTGCACATATCAGCATGCGATCTCCTTGAGCAGAAAACGTCCATTGAAGCAGACAATACCTTTCTTCTTAAGCTTCCCCATCTTTTCGGCTTTTGCGACAGCCTGGTATGTGTGCAGATATGTCGTAGAAAGAAACCGGCGCAAATCGGTTTTTTTCTTCTTCTTCCTGAAGGTCGAAACTTTTTTTTTATC